ACGGGTAATCCTCCGGTGGTCGTTGCGCTGGAACCCCCATCCCCTATACTACTTATATAACCCTCAGAGTCCCAGGGGACTATAGGTGTTTGTCCGGGAGGTTCATACTTTGCGAGCGGTTGATTCGGTGCTCTTTAGTCAGTAAAAATAGTATTTCGTAATCTTTTGTCATCATTCTTTTAATCTTAAACACACAATTATGTACTGATATGTCATGGCATCATCATTTAGCATGCTTCCTATTTAAATGGTTAATCGGGATCCTTTTGCTGTCATCATGATTATCTTCTGAAAAAGAAAAAAAAATCAGTCCCCTTTATCCTTGTACTCGGCTTCAGTCATTTTTTATTACTGTAGTAACATATATAGCTCCTGTTAAACCAAAACGAGTACTTCAAAGATTTGGGCATTAAAGAGTCCATTGATTGATAACAGCCTAGCTAGACCAAACGACGAGAAAACATGCTATCGTAACATTCATTCTATGATAGTAGAATCAAAGATGGTATATAGCGCTGTAGTTCAGTAGCCTCTCATCTCCCGGGATCTGAGCTGAGTTCGATTCCTGTACTCCGCATCCTATACGAGAAGAGTTGTGTAAGGCCTCTCCCTTGATTGGATGGTTTTTCTGATCTTTTTTCGATTTTCATCCTTTTAAAAAAACCTACAGTTCGTTATGTGAGCAAGCAGTGCCCTGACTTAGATCAGCCCAAAGGATGTTTTAGCGTAAAGATAAAATTCAAAGAAGCGTATTCTTAAAAAAAATTAAAATTAAAACAAAAAAGAGCGTATTCTTGGCTCAAATTACAATAACAAATCGAGGTCGAAGAAATGTTTTTCTTTAGTCGAATCTCTCGGTACAAGTTTTTACTGTCATCGCTCAGCAATGTATAGTGTACTTTTAATCTATATTTAAACAGACCAGACCTTTGCGTACTGAAGGACATATATATATATGATTTGGCACCGCTATTTCGCAGTTCGCGCGTACTATGATTAAAGGCGTATTACACATCTATCTATATTGTGATCTTATTCAACCTATCTACCTTTGTGCACAAGGGCCTTTAGTAAAAGTGATGTCATCAAGCGCGATGTCACCAAGGTACGTGGTCCCTCGGACAGATTCAAATACAATCTGAAAACCAACAAATGAATATACTTATTTTAATAAAGTTAGTCTCCAAAAACCTAGAATGCTGTGATCGCTAAGAATCATGGGAAATATATCAAATTCAAGAGTAAAGCTTTTGACACAAACTGCAGCAGTTGAGGATGCTCAGAGGAGGTAAGACTGTAACTGGTAAAAGATGAGCAAGTCCATCAACAGTTATCAAGCGGTTGAAACATGTAAAATGTATCTACCCATAATCCCTGCCGGTCTCAGCTGTGTAGCGTTTCAGGTGTGACTAACTTTATTGAAATAAGTGTATATATTAAAGATAGAAGCCCAAGAGTATGTTTTCCTAACGCTTTGGTAAACTGGTATTTGTAACAGTAACAGAACCTAATCGAGTTTTAAAAAGCAAAAGGAAGAGGGAAAGCTTGCCAGGTGAAATGGGTCTGTATGATTATCTTCTTTAAAAAATTGCCTTACCTCGTAATCAAAGGTCATATTTGAAATACTGATCACAGCTTGATGCCACTTTCTACCTTGGTCACCAGATATTGTAAGTACTTTGGTTCTCGCGTTAGAGTTGAGACTTCTGATATACACGTTAAGTGATCCCATGGTCGCACCGTACATGTGATAGAAGAAACTCATGCAGCGACCAGAAGATGCGGGAGAAAGGACTTTACTGACCAGGGTGGCTGTTGGTTGGTTTTGGGCAGGGTATGAGGTTTCTACATACACGTATGATCCTTGAAACACACAAACATAAGAAGCATTATACAAATAGTAATGGTAATGCCAATGCCAATGCCAATGCTGACGATGCTAATACTAATGCTAATAGTAATACTGTCCAATTATTTTCTTAATTGGACAGGTCTTGTTGATATGGGATTAATTAGGCAGCTATATAATTAATAGGTAATGGGATTTCATACTCCCCAATCAAGAAATAATTAGACTCGAAAAATTCCTCTGACTGCCAAATTGGACTCGACCTACGGCCTGGAGTCCTATTACATATACTAATACTAATACTAATACTTATAGTACACCCAACAAAATTACTCGACTCTGATTGGTCGACAGGGATACAATTATAGCGTTAATTGTACTCCGTAGGAGTACCGAATTAAGTCGCTATGGCAACACGGCCAAAACAATGTCAAAACAATTATTTTCCATCATTTTGTACTTAAAAAACATATAAATCAAATTTTAAAGCCGTAAGAACTAATCTTTTTTATGCATTTCAGTTGCGCGATGGACTGAAAATCGGGCTCCAAATAGACAAAGATGAACGGCGTCGCTTCGCATTTTTTACTGAAATTTTGTTGAGTGAACTATAAACAAAATCGCACGATCTCGAGTACAATTTGGAATTAATAGGCACTCGTAACAATTTTAAAGTTCTTTAATTGCACTCGCCTAAAGGCTCGTGCAACTACAAGAACTTTCAAAACATTACTCGTGTCTATTAATTTCCAAATTGTACTCGAGATCGTGCGATTTCCTATACTTATACTAATACTAATAGGGGCGAAACAGAAAAGCAGGTCACCTCTACCAATTAACTACTCACCGAAACCTGAAGTATGGTCACCATTAGGTCCTGTGTTAGAACTGGGAGTTGAACCTGACCTTCTGGTCCACGAAAAGGTGTTCGTCCCCGGTCCAGTCTTCCAGCCACACATATTTTGGTCGAAATTACAATCATCCACAAACACTGAAATCAAGAGTACATTGTGTCTTAACATTGTTATTCACCCTATTAGTCCTATTGTCCTTGATATGTCTTCTCAACAAGTGTTTTAAACACATGTATATGCTCTCAAAAATTCTCGACTGAAGGTCTCGACTTAATTACAAACAGCTTTTTCTTAAGATGGCTAAATACTACTGGACGATGGATTTGAAGATAAAACCCCGCTGATATACAAAGGAAACTCCTCAAGCTTTTTTTAAATAAACTATGCACATCTTCATCAAGTTATTAATATAGCATGTTCAATAACCAAATTTACCCTGGGTCGTAGGTTTTGAAGTAACAGGTCTTGAAGTGGAAGGACGTGAAGTTGTACTTGTTGGACCCTTACCACCGCACTTGCCATCTTCTTTAAAGAATATGTCATCCAGTGCTACATCACCAGTATAGCTAGATCCCCTGATGACCTCAAACACAACCTGTTTATAAGATGTCAAGAAAAATATTTTCAAAAGCTGGGAAGCTAAAAAAACCTATGCCATGCGTCGCAGCATTATAGGAAAGAAAGGGAACATACCGTTCCATTACATAAAAATCATACAGTGCAGTTATGTATTTTTTGCCTTTTCATAAATCAAGAAATGAAGCTATTAAACCAAATATTACTAATGCTCTTATTATATATGACAGCTGGTCTACTTATTTCAAGCTACCATTATCGATCGATCTGGCAGTAGAGAGAGAAACAAGTGAGTACCTTATAATCATTAGAACTTGTAATAGTTGTACTTGCTCTAAGCCACTGTTGTCCCTGGTTACTGCTTATATCCTGAAAATCCCTTTCCTTGCTCCTGCTTTGACATCCAGTACATAGACATTCAGTGACCCAATGGTTGCTCCATGCATGTTGTATGCAAACTGAAGACATAGTCCAGAAGTAGCGGTCAAGACTGGACTTGTGAGCTCTGTTTTTTGGTTTTGCCGTACAGGTGAAGAAGACTCGGCGTAGACGTAAAAACCTTTAAAAATAATAGTCGTTTTTAAGGCTATGCATCGTGTATGTTTTACAAAAGGTAAGTTATCAATCAAATAGCTTTACGACAAGATAACTCCAGTGTCGTCATAGCATTTGGATATGGATGCACTAACCTGTTCCGTTCAAAGGTTTTGTTGCATCACCATCAGGACCAGTTGATGAGCTGGGTGTGGATCCTTGCTGACGGTACCACTGGTAGTTATTTTGTTGGTCGGTAGTCCAGCTGCACATATCGATTTCGAACTCGCAATCATCAGGACCTGATGGGAGATGAAATACCTTTATTGAAGAAATAGAAAGCGCGTGATGTGTGCAGTTATAATGCACGCGGGGGTTGGCAGAACTTCTTCAGGCTTCTCAACACTTCTCGAGTGTCTGCCAATCCCCAAGTGCTTTATAACTGCACACAGCACAGCCAGCAAGTTTTTTTTCTTTTATAAAATTTTAATAACCGTTATTTTGGATAGGAATGACGCAACTGAAAGTGTGCGAGTGTGCTGTGTGCTCTCATAAAGCACTCACTCCCAACCAATCAGAACGTAAGATTTATAACAGCTATTTTAGAATGTTTATTATTAATTAACATCGTTTATTTCTCGTTTATTATCCTGCATTACTTTTTTAAATTCATTACATTACATTGTCTTACCTAAACCACATCTTYTTTGCTTGCAAACGTTGGTCTCTTTGCTGTTTCCTGAACACGGTTTACCGCCATTTTGAGCGGGGGGATCGTTACATTGCCTCGTTCTTGTGTGAGTTCCTTGTCCACAAGTAGCACTACACTGACTCCATGATGACCAACGCCCCCAACTACCGTCTATGACAGCTGCATACAAATTATATAGGAATTACAAAATCTCTTCAAGTAAATAATCAATAATTGGACAAAAAACATGGCAAAAATAGCGGAGAACAAAATGAATAAGAATTGCAATGAAGCCTTGAAGAAAAATCTGCCAGCATTATCATCCAAAAAAACCACCTCCATTCATCGCCCTCCAGTCAAACTTAATTAATAAGCCGCCTTAGTCAACTATAGAGAATTTGTACAAAACAAATCAGTGATTATTTTTACAGACCTGAATGACCTTATTTCTCAGTGTAAAAATAGTTTCTGAGTAAAACTTGTTTGAGGGAAAATCATAACTTTTAACTGTCCAAGAAAGTTTCGCGTCTTTTTTTCTAAAATTAACGAGAAAATATCAACAGGAAGGGGACCTGGGCTAGACACGGTATTAATAGTTACATCTAAATTGTTCTATTAGACGTTTACAGCCTGTTTTTGTTATAGTTAAGCAGATTAAGAATCATAAGAATGTATCGACGAGTTCGCCATAGGACGCGTTTGATTACCCTGACATTCACTAGGACTGCATTGGGCATTTTCTGTCCCTACACCATATGTATCAGCTCCTGGACAATTGGAGACATCTGAAGACGAGCAAAACCTTTGACGAATCTTCCTGCAGTTACTGTCACAAGGGCCATAGTCACTCCATGAGCTCCAGCCATTAGAAGGACCTTAAGTATCGGAGAAAATGTCAGTTCTTCAGAAAACAAGATATCTTTCGATTAAGCAACAATTTTAAAAGTGATTGCATACAGGAAAGTGCCAATCATCACACAAGCGCTTTACGACAAGTCGGGAATACAGCGCATTCACATCGCGGTCAATTAAATTTAAGATTCCAGTGTTACCTGAACAATCATACAGTGCATTGACCTCGAAGATATCAGTTTGTGAAAACCCATTTCTTTGTCCAAGTTGCTGGTTTGGATTACTGATGGCCTCTATTGTCGGTTTGCCGTTTGAGGAAAATGAATATTTCCCATAATGCATGATGCTTCCTAAGTCATACGTCGCTTTCAGACTGTCAATCCTTCCATGGTCATATTTGTTGAAATTATGCTCCTTTCCTTAAAGAATAAGAATAAAAAAGAGCACGTTTTTAAACAATTATAGAAACAACTGAATCACTCCAGTAGCAATCCTCTTTGTGTGGTTGTGTGTGTGTGCTGTCAAGCTTTCGGGTACTGGAAGAGGTTGGAGGTTGTGTTAATAGGACATTTGATGATGGTGTCATTGACCTCTACTACCAGACTCCCTTGCACACTTTCTTTTGTTCAGTTAATTAGCACCAATTGTCTTACTATTTTCATGAGGGAATACAAATTTAAATAAGAAAGAAAATTTGAGAAGAATTATGGTAGTGGGAGTCAAATGACGCCATCAGGCAAACGTCCTATTGCAAGAAACTATATTTGCAATTATTCGACCATTACAATATGCATCTCATATGAGCAAATTGAAGCTCAGGAATGCGCTCCTGACGGCTGACGTCGTATGAATATCAATCGTTTCCGAGTTCGGTAAACATTTAGGCCTCACTGCAGGCGTTTCACGTTGGTTCTCTGATTCTTGGGGTGCATGTTTATGAATATTCAAACTAATAATTAAAAAACTAGTTATGGTTTTGAAATAAAGCAAGAGTATTATGTGACCTCGAGTGAACTTGAAATGATTTATTCAACATCTTCAGTCGAAAACCTACAAATAGTACATTTATGATGTCACGTTCACGTGAATAATATCAGGGATTCAAGTTATGTTCTCAGCCAATTAGAAGCAAGATAGGGAGTAATAACAGTCCTTACTGACCTGGTGTAATGTTTTCCCATAGAATCCTCACGTATTGATCTCTGTCGGGTCTGGACTGTTCGTGCCAGAAGCCCAGTGCGTGAAGTAGTTCGTGCATAATTATCCCTTTGTAAGCGCAGCCTTGGCCAATTGAGACGTCTTGTCCCCCCCTTTGCCAGTAGATTTTACCGACGTTTGAATAACACCTGAACAGTTTGAAAAAAACATAGACTCGTTAATCAAGATACCGTTGGTACAAACAGATCCGAGATAAGATACGTGATAGGAACTGAAATTCTGATGAATCTAGTGTCGCTCGTTGCGTAATGCCACTGAAAATGCTAGCCTCTTACTGATGTCTCTATGGAAGCAGGCACCTTAGTTTGGGGTCGCTAGTCATTGTATGTTCTTATCAGCTTGCACAAGAAGAATGAAATGCCGTAAATCATAATAAAGGCGTCTAAATGTTTTAAATTAGTCCTCTAGCATGGCGGACAAATACCATCACAGGGTTCATTACACGGCATATTTTTCACAAATCTAACTTTTTTTCTTAAGTTTTTAACGCTTTATTATATTATCTTTCATATTAGAGGACTTTTTTAGTTCTGGTAACAAGATTTGGTTTTCAGTATTAAAACAGCCTAGCTATAGAGCGTTTTCACTCACGTGACAAGGCAGTAATATTAGTGTACCACACAATAGAAACTTTCTGCACAGTTTTTGTATAAAAAGGGAGTTTAATTACCGGAGGATATAAAAATGTATTGTTTTGGTACACCAACATGGCTGCTGTGACGTCACGTGAAAACTCTGTTCACCGTTTGTGGAATTTATCGGATTTGGGTCATCGGCGGTCGTCGTTCCTTTTTCAGACTTGATCGACGGAAGCGAACTGAAAACTGCTAAAACGAGTTGAGCCTTAGAATTTATGTTTATGAAAATTTCACTAAAACAATATTTCTTGTTTTCTATTCAGGTATCTCAAGCCGTCAACGCGGACTAAGCAAGGCAAGGCAAGGCCGGGGGACGTCCATTTCCTATGGTATGAGGCAGTTTGATTATCTTTAAAAATAACTTAATGCGGTTGAATACAATAGTTATATTGTATAGCACTAGTTGGTGTTTACAAACACCTCAATAATTCTTCTCAAGTTACTTTGTTTCATCAGCGAATCGATCTCTTGTTGGTAAAGTAAAAACAATAGCTTATATACGTCACAGCAACTGGCGCAATAACGGATATCCTCTGTAAAGCTTACCATACTCTAAAGCAATTATTTTTCTTACCCTGATCTCTTCACAAAGTTTATCCAATTGTTTTCATTTGTACGAGGGACAAATTTGACACAAGTATACTTGTGGAACTCTTCAATAGCTTCCTGAATTACTGGTCCATCGTCATTTGCTGAGCGATAATCATTAATCATTATTAGTGCACCAGCAATTACTACCATTCAGTGTGTATCATGTAGCAGAATTGTCAGTGATTTTCGGCATAAGGGGAGGGGGGGATAAATGGAAAATGTTCAGAAAAACCCAAGGAATTGGAGAATTTGAAACTCTGAATTCTTGGATTCTTTTAAGTTACTTACGGATTCTCAAGGTCTGGTCAATGACATAAGGAACTACTTTGGATTCCCAAACGTATTTTCGATCTCTTTGAGCGTTTCTCTTTTCGTTTCCTTCTTGTGGTCCATCAACATCTCGGTCGTTTTCACCCAGGATTATATCACCTTCAAATAGGATCTTATCCACCTCTGWAAAACAGAATGAAAGGCTTAAGATGGTTTCTTTTAAATAACAAGCATTCTACAAATTTCATTATCAGATTGTTTTCTAACCGGTATATGTTGTAATCAGATCTAAGCTAGACAATATTAAAAATAGTTTCCTGGAAAAAATATATATTCAAGTACAAACTCGAGAATACATTCATTGAAACGTTAATATTAATATTTGTATGAGAATATATATGAAATATATGTTTGTACTGCGGTTGTGTATCAAATTGAGCTGTTCCTCGCAGTATATGAAGCAACTTATGCATCTCCAAATTGAAAGACTCTTGAACGAGATTAATATTATTACTTTAAAATGCCCCTTGTTTCACTAATAATCACTATTATTGATTGGATATCGGCCATTTAGTAATAATTACTAATATTATCTTCAAAAGGCAAAATGAATCGTCCCTGGGTGGGCTCGAACCACCAACCTTTCGGTTAACAGCCGAACGCGCTAACCAATTGCGCCACAGAGACTTCGTTGAGATTAATCTAGTTTCCATTGATCAGATATCGGCCATTTAAGTAATAACCACTATTACATCTTCAAAAGACAAAATGAATCGTCCCTGGGTGGGCTCGAACCACCAACCTTTCGGTTAACAGCCGAACGCGCTGACCGATTGCGCCACAGAGACTTGGTTGTGATTAATCTAGTTTCCATTGATCAGATATCGGCCATTTATTAATAATTTTACTAATATTATCTTCAAAAGACAAAACGAATCGTCCCTGGGTGGGCTCGAACCACCAACCTTTCGGTTAACAGCCGACACGCTAACCGATTGCGCCACAGAGACTTGGATTTAAAAAATGCACTCATTTGTATTGATCAAATATTGGAGTTTTTATTTAACAGATCAAAAACAGTTTTCCGTGTTTGATTTGTTTTTATAAAATAACAAACGCGCGAAAAGATCGAAAAAAGCAAAGTCTAAGTAAATTCTCCCTACGTGCAGTCTTATTCAAACTGACCAATGAGCGCGCGCGATAGATTAAAAATGACGACAGCGTGTTTTGATACTCTCATCAAACATGGTTTTCGACCAATCATAGCGCGCGTAGTATCCCAATTATTTTATTTAAAAAAATCAAAAATAAAATTTTAAATGAATTAATCGGGTGGGGGTGTCAAGCTCACGTAAAAGCGAAATATACCATCGTGATCAATCACTCATAAGTTATAACGCGCGTCCAAGAGAAATGATACAAAAACTGGTGCTGATTCCAGAACCGTTCCGGCCGCTTGGCGTGGTATCTCCCACAGAATTATTTCGAGCCCAGCCAGAGGAATATATCATATGAACGTCAAAGGCTATTCAGTACAATACTGAATGCTAAGTACTAAATCAAATGCATTTGATAACTGACAAAATAAAAAACAGTGTTATTATTATTATTCTTATTTGTTATTATTACACATACTTTCATTTACACTTTCGATTTGTTCTGCAACATCTTTTTCGGAATCGTCGTTTTCGGACAGGTTTTTCACTGTGAATAAGTTAAGTATTATAAAGTTAAAATAAAATACTATTAATAAACAATAGTAATACCAAATTCCTGTCACAAAGAAAGATGTAGTATAGCAAATAATTCATTAAAGTTGCTTAGAACATTAAGTTCAGTAAATGGGACACTATTTATATGTCTGCATTTTATAATTGATAAAAATAGAATTACTAAGGGGTTTTCAAGTAACTAACAGTACACCAAGTAGAATCTTCATCTAAAACTTCATATCTTCATATAAAACAAATACGACTTAAAAAATTTCTAGAAATGCGAGGACGTTAATTATAATGAGGCACATAAGCCTTGAAGGAAAAAAAGAAGAAGAAGGAAAAAAAAGAAAGAAAAAAGAAAAAAGAAAAGAAAAAACCCCGAAAGATCCAAAAGCAACACTAAAGCCAAAAAAACAAGGCTTAAAAACAAATTAACGTTAAAAGCAACAACAAGGGATGTGAAAACTAACTAAAGAAAAAAAGGATTTCTTAATCCAGGAAATAGGACAAATCGTATCAAAAGATCAAAAAGAGAGAGAGAGAGAGAGAATAAAATAAAATATCATACCGTTGTAAGTTACAGGAACAGAGTTGGATAGAGAGACTGCAATGCTGATCAGCAGGATGATATGCTTAAACTGACCCATGGTGGAACCAGGAATAAACTGAAGCTTTCTCACAACTATTCACCTTTATATGCAGAAAATTGAGCATATTTACCGAGAGGGTGGGGTTAATTGCATTACTGGTCGTACAAACGGTAACCATAGTATTTTATCTCTAGATATGTATACTTTTATAAATCAAAGCTCAATATTTTGTAATGTTCGATATATTACCTGAAATGGTAGTCAATTGAATATATTTGACTGAAAATACAAACTTTATTTTAGGGATAGTACAACTTCTAGCAGGGAACCTAACAAATTGACCTCTAAAAATCACCAACTTTTATTCATCGTTCAAGACTCAGAATGTTTTCTGAGTCTTTCAATTTGCAGCTGCATAAGTTGCTTCATATACTGTGAGGATCAGCTCAATTTGATACATTACAACTGCAGTACAAATATATATTTTATATATATTCTCATACACTTTTATTCATCTGTTAGCAAAAATGTAATTATTATTTTTAATGTATTTTATACAATTATCAAAATATAGGTAAACAATTAAGATAGACATCTTCTGATTTGGCTGATACTGGCCCGTACTTTGATAACCAGAAATATTGAACTTCTGGCTCATATTCATTTACTTATCTTTGTTTTATTAAGTGCCTAAATTTCTTTAGTGGTGCGATAATGAGGTTAAAGATCAAAAGATTACAATAGACTTAATAAAAAAAAAAAAACTAAGATTAGTTGTGGAACTTTTTTCTCACTTTCTTTGCAATTGTATGACATCAATTAAAAATCACTATATTTGAAATTGTTGGTATAACATCAATTAGAGTTCGAGTTTAATTTCTTATTTTCCATGTTGCAATAATGTTGTTTAGTTGTTTATATGAAAAGAATCATTTTTTTGTCAGAATCCAAGTCGTTAAAGAGGACACTTGAACCCCCATTTTTTTACAATGTATCTTTTGAGTCAATCGAATGGAAATAAGACTTATTTTGCTCACTTGGTGTATTGGAACTCATTGAGAGGGTTTGAAAGAGTAGGAAGATAACTTATTAAAAAAAAAAAAATTTACCACCACTCCCCACACGGGGCTCTTCCTTGAGGTTCCCTCCACACGCACTACCACTACATTCTATATTTACAACATACAACACTCAACTCACACGTTGCTTTTTATGGAGGGAGGAAACCGGAGATCCCGGAGAAAACCCTCGTGGCAAGGGAGAGAACAACACAACGAACAAACTCAACTCACATCTGATCGAGTCTGAGCCAGGGCTCGAAACCGGACCAGAGTGGTGAGAGGCGAGCGGTAAACCACTACGCCACCCATGCCACCCTCAAGATCGGCAAATAATAACTTGGAAAAAACTCTGTTCACGGTTCGAGTATTCTCACTCTCATAGTCAATTTCAAAATGGTATAGCAGTCGACAATATTACTCGTACTGATCTAAAGGCCGGTTTAGACGTTACGATTTTCGCCTACAACTATCGTATACAACACGCTCGCGTCTGTCGTAGGCGAGTTATAGGCTTGATTTACACGCTACGACTCGAGTTGTAGGATGGTGCGAGTGTGTTGTATACGATAGTTGTAGGCAAAAATCGAACCGTCTAAACCGGCCTTAAGGTTTTCCGATTCCCAGACCTAGACTAGTGCGATTATAGGCCGGAAATCATACTAGAAAAAGGAAGATACAGAATTAATATGAGAATCCAGAACGAAAAAGGTATCTTCTTCTGGATTGGCCACCTCAATAGACCTTTTTACCGATACGGGGACCATCTTTTTTATTGTTCAATAGAAAAATTAATTGAATTCAGTTTTTGTTAGTTGAAACAATATTTGAAACACCAAGACTTCAAACTATTTAAAAACGTAATCCCCCACTCTATGGTTTATAAATGTTCTACGTTTGCCCCCTTGACATCCCAGAATTTAAGATGGCCACCGTACCAGTAAAAAGGTCTATTAGCTTCTTTATTTATTTTTTTTAATTAACACTTTAACACTTTAAATTAATTTTGCATATGTATTTGAGGTGCATGGTTTGGATATTAGCTTTAAATTAGGGTCTAGATAAAAAGTCTTTTTTCCCTCTCGTTATATTTCATTGTCACCTGAGTGCAAGACACTAAACTTTGGTGTCTATCCTTCGTATTCTTTGCTAATGGCCTAAATCAGTAAACTATTGTTACCGTCTTAACTAATTTTAATTCAATATCAGTCAATGTTGATAACAATTACATAAAATATGGAATGTGCCAAAATATCTAATCTCAACCTAATAAATAACAATGTAAAATAGCACATCCCAAGTTAATGAAGGAATGAAGCTGATTAGATAAATAATGAGGGGAGGGGGTTTCAGGAATTTATGTTATACGATACTTTAAATTTTTGTAGCGACCCCAGAATGAAACGTTTTTTATGTGGATTCGTTTGCTCAATATTTCTGTTCTGAAATGAGAGGTTGCGCAAGTGTTTGTCGAGGGTGGAGTGCTTGCTCAAATTGTTTTGGGGGTTTATATAAAGCAAAGATTAGTTAATGGTCCGTCCCTTAGCTTGAAGATAAGAATTCAGTCCATGATGTAAAATGATTACTGGAATCGGTAACTGTATTCTCTAGCTTATAGTGGACAGATGCATAAAAAGTGAACTTGGCAAACGCCATTTTGAACGGCTCGAGTGCAAACTAATCATGTTCCAAGATACGGCTTTGTCTTTATTAGGCTTTGTCTTTATTAGGCACTAATTGGCATGGCAAGGGAAGCTAGGGAAACCAATCACATGGTGTCCCCTTTTATTATCTACACCAGCGACTGGTGTGAAGTCGTTAGCTAGAAGTCAGGATGGAGCAAAACCATTAACGATTTTCAATACTCTATCGAATTTTTCATTCAATTGATCCTTTAATTTCATGTCGTATCTTCAGAATCCAGATCATTTTTTTCCCACGTTACAGGCTAATTATAACAAAAAGCCCCTTCGATTCTCTATTTTTATCTTTTCAATAGTTCAACAAATAAAAATACTAAAAAGATAAACGAATAGAGATATAAAAAAATATTTAATACTTTGGCATTTATATATAAATAATTTGAAAAAGAATCTTAATTCTTCCAGATGTAAAATAGTAAATGTAAGATATAATATTATGCAGTATGCATTCCTAATACGAAATAAAATATGCCAGATTCAAAATGCAACATGTCAGATAAAAAATGCAACGTGGAAAATATCGTCGCTTTAGTGTTTTGGCATATGAGCTAACCGAGAAATTAAATTTTTTTGCGATTTGACTTTTACATTTTAAGTCTAGAGATATTTGAAGAAAACGTCCCAGGGTAAGATCGTTTGCTCTTTCATTCATTGCGTTGTTCGTTTGCTGCTGCGTTCGATGCGTCATCCGTTTGCTCGTTCGTTCATTACACCGTTCTTATGCTTGCTTGTTTGTTTGTTGCGTTGTTCGTTAGCCAGTCCGTTCGTTGCGTTGTTCGTTTACTCGTTCGTTCATTGCGTCGTTCGTACGCTCCTTTCTTCCTTCCCGATTGTATCCCAAATTCTTTTAGACTATTCAGTTTAAGGTGACTGCCTACTTTCAAAAAACGATTTAAACTTTTTTTACACTTCGATTTTCCGAATTGAAATTTAATACTGATTCCAAATCTGGAAAGAAAAATTGGGTGTCCCGAGCTTGTTTTTCGAGATAATCCGCATTTAATGGAAGCCAACGCGCGAGCTTTTGGAGCAAAATTTGAGCCACCGGAAGTGATTAGAATAAAATGAAGATTCATAAGATAATAGTTGTTTGCAGACTCTATGATTGCACGAATGAAGGCTAGTCAATCACTCTACAAAAAGACAAAAAGACAAAGAGATACATTGATTTGTCATATTTTGTAGTGTTATTAAGAATTCTCATACAAAAGTCGAACAAAAATCCCTACAAAAATCTATTTTTTCATGTGTTAGAAATATAAACTTTTTCTAAAATGTTGATATAACCTAGATTTTGAGGTGTTTTTTTCGAATGAGAAAATAGAGAGTCCCATGCAAGATTTGCCCTGTTGAAGCTCAAAACGCGTATGGTTCTTCAATAAAATCTTGTAGATTTTTCAGCGGTTTTTGAGTGCGCGCACATCGTGGGCTCAAATCGAAGGGTCACCTTAATAGACTTTTGAATACCAAACACAAAAATTGTTATGTTATGCATGATGTTTATTCGTCTTTTAATCTTAAACGCACAATTATGTACTGATATGCCATAACATCATTTAGCATGCTTCCTATCTAAGTGGTTAATCGGGATCCTTTTGCTGTCATCATCAGTGATTATACTCTGGAAAAAAAGTTAACGAATATCAGATTTGTCTATGCATCAATACATTTGAGTCACATGTCATTTGAATGACATCTCCGGGATGGA